AGGAAACATCTCCGGGGTGAGACTTGTTTCAGTGAAACTCTGCAGTAGTGTCCTTGGAAACAGGGGTTAACACACACACTTGCATGCGGAAAATGCTGCATGCGCTAGTCCAATACCAATAGTATGGCCGTGCCCTTTTCTGAGGTGCCCTTCATGTGCCTAGTAAGGCCAGGAGCCCCTAGTAGCTACTTGTTACTAGTAGTAAGAGTGCTCCTAGTAGCTATGCCAGGAGCCCCTAGTAGCGTCCTTGTTCCTAGTAGCGATGCCCTTTGCTCCTAGGTGCCCTTCCGGATCCATTCTTCACCACGACGTTTGTCTTGGCTTTCAGCCGAAGGCGCCAATTGCCAGGGACAAGCACGTTCGTGGTGCGAACCAGTCCTCGAAGAGCGCATTAGCAGCTTGGAGGTTTCATGAGCTTGACTTACCGCGGTCAATGTGGCAACACAGTTCTGCAACAGAGTTCCAAAGGGAACCCTATTCCAAAAGGTTCAAGAACTCAAAAGGTCCCTTTGGCCCCAAATGGAAGTGGTTTGTGCAATTCTCAAAGGAATACAAGGAGAATCTGACGTTGGATCGTGGAGTCCTCTGGAAAGCTGCCACACCGCACATCACCTGGAACTGCGATTGTGTGTCCCAACACAATACCATAGAAGGATGCCATAGAGTTGGTCATCTGCCATAGACATCCTTGTGTTGAATCCTACTAGGTTGGAGTTAAGCTTCCCTAAAAATCTAGGAGGCAAATCACTAGCGTGAGCTATCCTGCGTGCTGGGTAGGAGCGTACTTGTACAGTAAGCTACCTAGTCTTTACTGGCTACCTCTACCTTCCTACCTACCTACCTACCTACCTACCTACCTTGGCCTACCCCCCCCCCCCGGTCGGAAAAACAAAAAATACCGACCCTCAAGCCATCTCAGCTTCTAACCATGCGAGTCGGCAGCTTCACCTCCTGTCGGAGCAGCTCAGCAGCTGCCTGCACTCAACTTGTTCCGAAGGAAGGGAGATATGGAGATAAAGACAGAAGAGATCACAACAACAAAGTAACAATGGGTAATGTGTCATATTAACAATTCGATTTTGTATCAGAAAGCTACATTGAACCAATTTGAGCTGAAGAAGAGTTCATCCCCTGGATCAGTTACGAGGGATATGGGAGTCTTTGTAGTGCTAGTGAGGCCTAGTAGTCTACCTATGCTGAGTAGGACTAGCTCCATCTCCTTTTTCTCTGGTCGCACCTCGGAGACGAGAAAAATGCTTTTGTCACCTGCCGGGCAGATTTTCAAAGCATACACATGTTCAGAATAGTTTTTGTTCTCTTTCTTACTACTAGTAACAATGTTCGCTGCTAGGGGCTCTTGGCCTTACTACTAGGAGCAAGGACGCTACTAGGGGCTCCTGGCATCGCTACTAGTAGCATTCTTTCCTTTCCTTTGTTTTTCTTTTGTTCGCCCGCCCCCCGACCGGGTAGGCTGCGGAGGTCGCTAGTAGCTAACTTGTAGCTACTACCGACTGGACGCAGGATAGCTTGCGCTTCTTCAAGGAAACTCCGGGGCGGCGGGGGAAACTTGCTTGAAGAAGCGCTTGCACTAATGATTTGGTTCCTAGATTTTTAGGGATACTTAACTAGCAATGGCCTCCAACCTAATACGATGTCAACTGGAAGTGTTTTCTCAAACTAGAAGTGTTTTGAAGAGCAAGTCAATTGAATCAATTGCCTTCCAGTATGGACGTATGTCACACGCACGTCGACTTTGCGTCTGAAACATCTCACTATAAATGAGCTGGTAAGACTTGAAGCTAGTAACAAAGGGCATCGCTACTAGGAGCTCCCCTTACTACTAGTAACAATGTTCGCTACTAGGGGCTCCTGGCATCGCTACTAGGAGCAAGGACGCTACTAGGAGCAATGCACCACCGAAACGCCTTCTGCACGCATCACAAAGCGATGGGAGAGCGAAACATCCTGGCAGCGGCTTAACGCCGGTGGTGAACATGACAGTCAGTTGGAAACAGCAATGGCAGGCAAAGGTTTGCATTTTGTTCTAAAAGGCTTGTTTGGAAAGCGCACGGTATGTATGCAAAACGCTTCTGGAAGGCTGTGTTGAGCTTTAATGTGGGGGGGTACTAGTTGAGCAAATCAGACCCTGACAAGCCAAGGCGGTTGGAATGGTCATTGCCTTGGCTTCTTGTTCCTAGTAGCTTGTATAATTGCACATGCTGGGATTGTTTTTGCTCACGCTTTATCCATGGACCTCTTGGCACCAAAAGAAACAAAGGAAGATATCGGGTTTAACGCCACACACGCGACTTGATATAGACGGTTTAAAGGTAACGTTAAACATGTCAGAGGGCCAAGCCATAGAAGTCTAGGACTTCAGGCCTGGTGGAGACAAGTAACATCCGGTAACGAAAAGACATACGCAAAACACGTCCAAAGAACAAAAGATAAATAAAAACATGTTGCACACATGTCTAAAGTGACAAAGAACAATAATAAATATATGTCTAAAGTACAACTGGGAATCTGAATCCAGATCAGCTGTCAAGACAGCCTTTAGTTGAGGACAGCCTAGCCGTGCGTGGGAATACCGCAAGTTCGCAGCACTGCATTGCATGTCCCTTGCATGACAGACTTTTTGGTGTGCTTGTGCAAAGGAAGCTTTCTTTGTATCGAAAAGCAAGGAAGGCAAGGCCCCAAATGCTTCTTCTGTGTCCGTTTGCCAGTATTGATCGCTACTTAGCTGCACCTCTCTCCTACACCGGTGGCCAAAAGAACAGTTCTTCCATTTTCTTCAACCATCTGTAAAACACCTTATTGCGTACCTTTGGTCATTCTCATCCTGAGACCCAAACCACTCTGGCAACACGGAGTCCACAGGCAGGTACTCTTTGGTCAGCCGCCTGAAGACCTGCAAAGGCTTCTGCTTTCAACGTATTCATTTCATCATCACTACTACGACTCCACAACATTCTTCGATCGTAGGATGCTTGCAGACCATCTGTGGATTCTTTGGATTTGTTGAACTCCTCCATTCGAGTGGCTAAGGCCAAACAACATATGCAGGACTCCACATGCATAAAGCAACGAAAAACATGCTGACATCCACCGGCTTAAATGCCAATCTATGTTTCTCTGCTGGCTCTTAGCCTCTCAAGAAAGAAGGTTGGCGGTCAAAAGGACAGGAACACATGAAGAAATTAACAAAAGGACAGAAAAAACAACAACAACAACAATACTTTGGAGGCAATCGCTTCTGGGTTGGAGACGCTACAAGGGGCTCCTGGCCTTACTACTAGTAACAAGAAGCTACTACTTCTGCATCCACTACTTTGGCCCCACACCACTTTCTCCTTGGGCTTCTCGGGTTCCTGATGACTTTGGATAGCTGATGGTGCACAACAGGGATGAGCTGGACTGAAACCTTTCCCACATCAGGGAGAATTTTCTTTGGGTTTCTTGGAAACATGTGCTTTGGACCTTTACTGTTTTTGCTTTTTAACATGTCTTGTTCCTGTAATATGCAACAAAACTGACTTACCACACGTACCTTACACAAGTTCACCTAACCCACTCTTGTGCTCGTGTGAGGCACTAGTATGACATCCATATGGCATCCGCAAAAGTTTCCCGCGCCCCCTTCTGCCAGTCTATGCTCCGCATTGCATGCAGAGATTGTTGTACTAGCGTACTTCTTTTTATCTCTCTATCTCTCGCTCTCTCTCTCTGTTTCTTCAAGCAGAGTTGCATGACTGACTTCTTCGCTTGCTGAAGAGTTCAAACCGCCGATTACACAATCCGCATGTGAGGAAGTAAATTATGCACTTAATTACTCTTGCTACATACAGTTGGCTTGCAAATCTTTCAAGGTTTTGCTTCTCACAAATGACTTCAGGTCGCCTTTTCTTTCTCTTCCTCCGCCTGGGGCAAAGGAAAAGGCGAAACCTGTGAATGAGGTGCATAACATCGCATACATTCCATTCTGCCCACATCAAGGAGTCCTCCATCTTGTGGAGTTCAAAGTGAGCCTCTGAAAGAATACATACTTCAATGAATCCTCAAATCTAAAATCAACCACCTTCTAAACCTGGAAACGCCTAAGGAAACCAAATTAAAAACCGCTTCTTCTTATCTGGAACCGTTTCCGAAAAAGAACGGTTCCAAAGCACCTCCGCCTCAGCGGTCTCAGTGGTCTCCTCCTGGCACGAAAGGAACAGCTGCAGGACAAGCTCGTTGCTTTCTTGCCCTTTTTTGGTCTCTGTGATATTGGACCTTTCTTTTTTGTTTTAGAAAAGAATAGTCAAACAAGCAGGTTGAAATACGTTTGTATTCTATTTATACTGTTTTCTTTGTCTTTTTCTTTGCAACCAACCTGACCGTGTGAGAATTGACCGTCCTTGGCCTTGAGCTGGGCACGCTTCTCTTCGCGCCGCGCTTTGGCGGATGGCCTCGCAGAGAGCAAGTTAAAGGGAAAAAAACGGACAAACAAATAGTAGCTTCTTGTTACTAGTAGTAAGAATGCTCCTAGTAGTCATGCCAGGAGCCCCTAGTAGCGTTCTTGCTCCTAGTAGTAAGGCCAGGAGCCCCTAGTAGCTTCTAAACGGACAGCGATGGCCTCCAACCTAACAGCAATGGCCTCCAACCTAACAGCAATGGCCTCCTAATACATGTATTCTTCTCGCTACATTGTTTGTAGCAAGGAGTAGAGATGTCCAAGTCCAAAGTCCCTTAAAGCAAATAGTGACTCTGAGTAGTGTTCTAACATGCAGCTGCAAATAGAGAATATGAGGTGAAGACTTTAAAAGAATTATCCTCTCAACACTGGATGGTGGCATTAGTTTGATCATCTGGTGTATCCACATACCATTAGACCTGCGGACGCTCTTCTAACGAAAAAAAAGAGCAGGAGGGTCTCAAATGGGCTTGCCTCGGATGAGACAAAAGAAACAACTGGCTTCCCATTTACACGCAGCTTACCCTTAGTCAGGTCGAATGACAAATCCCTTCACACCCGAGGCGCCACACGCTAAATCAGCACGCTTCTCAAAGGTTGCGATGAAGAAACCACCGGTATCCATGAGATGCCTGGCATCGCAACAGAAAGAGTCATCAACGCTAGTAGGTGAAGCGGACATCTGCATGGAGTGACCCGGCACGATCTGAAAAACACGTTCTGGTCAGAAGTGTTCGTGGTGCAAGTCCGTTCCCCAAAGCCAAAAGAATGTAAGAGGTAACAAAGGGTATCGCTACTAGTAGCAAGAAGCTACTAGGGGCTCCTGGCATCGTTACTAGGAGCAAGGACACTACTAGGGGCTCCTGGCCTTACTACTAGGAGCAAGGAGCTACTGGTAACAAAAAACTAAGAAGCCTTTTGATCGCATTCAAGCTTTGCGGCAAACCAGCTGCGAAATCAGGGCCAGCAGTGCGGGAGGAGCCGCCGGCAGTAGCGTCGCACTTGCTCCTGCAGCACCAAGATTTTCGTCATTCTTTGGCCACATGCGAGAAGAATTTATGATCTGATGCGTCTTCAGTCTCGCGATGGAGTTCACGCATTGAGCTCCAAACCCACTGCTCTTTGAAGTCACCCGTGGGTGGATACCTTCAGACTCTGCTGGCTATGCGAACTTCTCTTCTCCGTTCAAGTTTCTATCTGTGTTCACACACCCCAATTCCCACAGTGTGCATTTCCTTTTGTCCCAAACATGTTCACAACCTGGAGCCCCAAAACGATATATACAAGCTCACGATGGAGCACGTCGTTAGATGTAGTGATAAACTTCTCAAAACTGCTAAGCTTTCCACATCGTCGACAGCAGCTTTGTTTTGCCTCTCAGCATCTTCAGGCTTTCCAATTGGGGTGGCAAAATAGCCCTAACAAAGAGAGAGAGAGAGAGAGACTTGGACACTTAGCGACTTGCATGACCTTGCATGCGAGTTGCCGAAACATCGAGCACAGAAGATTTGCATAGAAGACTAGCAAAGAAGTAGACAAGACTTTCACTTAGAGCTTTATTTGGGCCGCTGGGCCGCAGGTCGAGGTCTCAAAGAGAAGAGTTGAAAGCAACGTCCAACAAGCGGCTTGTTGGAGTCCAGAAAATCTAGGAACCAAATCATTAGTGCAAGCGCTTCTTCAAGCAAGCCCCTCCCTGCGGTTTGAGGCTGGGGGAGCTTCCTTGAAGAAGCGTGAACTATCCTGTGTCCAAGCTTGTAGCTTTAGTAGCTAGTAGCGAACTACTCCCTTAGAGGGGAGCGGACAAAAAACAACACCAAGCAAAGTTTCCAGGTCACTTGTTGGAGTCCTCGGAGTCTGCACTCCGCACGTCTAGAAACCGAAAACATCGAAAAAACACTGTGCAAAGCCAACCTGGTCCCGGTAGGTGCAGCTTGGGCAACTGTCTATATTATCTAATCCGCTACTAGGGGCTCCTGGCCTTTCTACTAGGAGCAAGGACGCTTCTAGGGGCTCTTGGCATCGCTACTCGGAGCAAGGACGCTACTAGGAACAAAGGGCCTTACTACTAGGAACAAGAAGCTATTAGGGGCCAACCTGGTCCCAATAGGTGAGCTTGGGCAACTGTCTATCTAATCCACTTGTGTCACGGATCGACTTCGCCTGACTTCACTTCGTTTGGGGCGCTTTCGAAGTCCTCGAAGAACTCGCCAGTCTTCTCAGGGTTCGGGACCACCTGAAAGAACAGCTGTGACGTATGGAGTCCTTTGAGAACCAAACTAAGTCCGAGCAAACAATTGCAAAAGTAACAAACACGACACATGCCAGAATTGCTTTCTGCGGACTTTTCTTGGCCTTACGTGTAAAGTGCTGTACATGCTTGACCTGGAGTTGAGTGACTTCTGTTTCGCACTCCTCCTTGGCACGCTGGAGCTTTCAGCTCATCGTGCCACCTCTTCAAAAGGGAACCTCGTCGCTGTCCATGAAGGTCATGTGTTTCTCCATTCGAGCGTACATTTCCATCTTGCCTTCATGCTCACCTCGCTGGTTGAGTTCAAACCATCTTCTCCCGAACTGCAATGCGTATTGCTTGGCTCTCAGGCAAGAACGCGCTCCAGGAGTGTCATACTGCATCACTTCATGGATCTCAGCGTCAGTCAGCCATTTTGTTGTAGGCATTGACATGGTAAGGTCCTCGTATTGTTGTCCCTCATTGTTGCTGGTTCCTGGAGCATTTGATGACCGCCCAGGTTCTTCTTCTTCTTCTTCCATAGGTATGGGTCCTTCATCTTCACTCTCTGGCTCTCTTGGTTGCAAGTCACCTGCTCTCACGGTGACGACCTCTCCTGAATCCAGTCGAACTTGTACTTCATCGTCTGGATCATACTCCCCTTCTTCACTCTCAGCAGCCGTCAAGGTGTTGTCCCTGATGTTCAGATGGAGTCTTGTCTGAACTACATTTGCCTGGAGATATGCTTTGACCTGACCATCAAGTCTTCTCAAGTCAAACTCCCTGTTGGTGTCTTCAATGTAGCTCCAATGTGTCCAGTCGTCCTCACCAAACTCCTTGTCATCGACATAGCCTGAGGCTTTGATCAATCCTCTGTGCACTTGTTCCACGTACTTCTTGAGTTTTGACAACCCTTCTTGAGCTTCGTGACCATAAGCTCCCACCATCATGCCTCACTTTCTCATCATCCGCCACACTCTGAAGCCTTACCTCCATTCTCTCAAGCTTCTTCCAGAGCTGGTAGATGAAAAAGATCAATGCGCAAATCACCATGAACAAGATCACAATGAGCACTTTCATCCAGCCGCTGCTTTGTTCCGTAGGTGTAGTCATGTCAACTTCACCTCTCTCCCCAGCCACGTGCTCAAGGCCTTCGAGAAGTAGGATTCGGTTCAGCAGCTTTGCAAGTCTCTGGATTTTGCTTTTGCTCACTTCTCTCTCTTCGAGGTTGTAGTGCTCCTCCTGGCCAATCCTCTCACCATTTCCATTGTACATCTGGCACCAATGCAGAGGGAGATTCACCCTTGCTTTCGGCAGTGGTTTCGTGCCCAAGTCAGCAACATTGGAAACAGTGCCTACTGCTTTGACTTCGAGACCTCCTTGTGCCACCATGTCCTGGATCCACAAAACATTTCCAGCAATGTGTCGTAGTTTGCCTGGACCTTTTCGGTGACATAGATGGAGTGCAGCTGAGTTGTCTACCAAGCAGTAGTGCATGACCTCCTCCTCAACAAGGAACTCTAGACATCTCCTCAAATAGATGCCGTCTGCCGCTCCACTGACTAGTGCGTTCAACTCGGCCTCTGCTGAGCTCAATGACACTGACTTCTGGCCGCGAGAACTGGCCAGCGTGACTGCTCCATTTAGCATATGGATAGCAGCTGAAGTGAACCTTCGATGCCCCTTGGCTCCTGACCAGTCGCTGTTAGTGAATGTTTCCAGCAGCCAGCCTGTGGTCGTGCTCCTTGTTGAATGTCCATGGCCAGGATCTGGATACGGCAGTAGACTATACTGTCCCATTGTGCCCTTCAAGTAGCCTACAAGCTTTCCCAACTTCTTCAGGCTACCGGTCGTTGGTGCGGACATCGATGAAGCAAGCTCCTTGATGGTGAAGGATACATCCATTCTTTCCTGGGACAAGTAAATGCCACATCCAACCAAAGATCTGTACATGCTCGACAGCTCTCCGTTCAGCAATGTCGTGCCTTCAAATTCCTAGCATCTCTGGCCCACATGGCAACTTCTGGATCTTCACTCGTCCCATCTTCTCCTCATACTGCTCCACCATGCTTTCTGCATACTTGCCTGGCAGGATCTTGAGACCTTCTTTTACTTGCTCATATGTCCTCCTCAGGAAGGTAAAGGTCGTGCCATTGTCAGACAAGTGCTGTTCTGAGATGTCAAATCTCTTTCGATGTCCGGGAGGAAGGTGTTTTCCATGTAGTCCTTGGTGCTCACGTACATCACATCATCAACGTGAATGAGAACCATCATCACTTCACAGTATCCTCGAGCTGTCTGCACTTGTGTGGGTTCTTCTTGGGGTACCTGAAGGAAAGCATCTTTGACGTCCATGGAACCTAGCCAATAAGGCTCACCTCCACTCTTCTCTTCCATCTTCTTCGTGAGGTAGATGATAGGAAGTAGGCGTAGTGTCTGACCTCCTGTTGCTGGGCTGTGCACGTCATCTCGCCTGTCCACAGCGTACTCTCGTGCCACCAATCTTGACCTTCTGAGAAACTGCTTGGGTGAACTTGGAAGATCCGGTCGGGGTTTCACTCTCCAGTCTCTTACAAACCTGGTGGTTAACTTCTTGAACCCAACCTTCTCCTCTTCCATCTTCTCCAGCACTCCCATGCTCAGAAGCCTTTGCTCTTCCACAGCGTCAGCCAACTCGTCGATCCAGAAAGGGGGATCTGGTGGCACTCTTTCCAATGAGGCTGAAGACCACAACTCCTCTGGAATTGACACTTTCTGGGAGCCTTCATCTCCTTCTTCTCCACATGCTAAGATCTCCTCCTCTCCAAAGAACTGGTCCATGTGGTAGTAAGTGTCTTGTCCCACTGCTGTGGCTTCCACTCTCCTCTCCATCTGCGAACCACCTCCAGACGTCTTCAATCTCTTCGGCTCAGACATCTCTCCTTCACTCTCATGCACGGGCTTCGCCGGTGTCACCTTCAATCTTTTGGAGTCTTCTTCACCTCCGTCACCTTCCAAACTCATCTTCTGTGCTGAACTCCTGGGAGTACTTGTTGGAGTAGAAGGCCCAGCCTGGTTTCTCTCTTCATCAATGCTGTGGGCATCTCGAGCTCTGATCTCTGGGATGACGATCTTCTCCTCGACATAGTCCTGTTTCTTCTCTTCTGCCAACTTCTGCTCTTCAGTCAGCGCTTCTGGCTCACCGGACTTCATCTTCTCGACCTCTACCAAGTCCTTCACTTCCTCCAACTTCCCGGCATAGGACTTGGAGAAAGCTATGATTTCACGTGCATCATCATCATCCAGAGCTATTCCCTTTGTCTCAGCTGTTGGAAGTCCAGCAAGCAATGGTCCACCAACCATAGTTGCCACTCGCTTTGAAGGCGCAATTCTACCCCCAAAGTTCTGCTGGAATTCCCATGAGTAGGCGGTGAAGGCCTGGTAGCAGGCCAAATAGCGAGTGCTAGCATCTGCAACTCTCCTCAAGGACCTGCTCAGAAACACCCGGTTTCCATCTCCAATGGCCCATGCGTCCTGAACTTCAGTCTGGCAGATTCCTACCTTCCACCTCGGGTCGGCCTTGAAGCCTTGCTTCTGCTTGGAATAGGCGAAGACCACTTCTCCTAAGGGACACATCTTTCCATCATAGGCCTTTCCATGCGTCAGCTCGAAGCTTGTGGTACCTCTCAACACTTGATACCTGTTCAACGTCCAAGCTGCATGTCGACAAGCCCAGGACCACAAAGGATGTTGGTGATGAAACCTGAGCCCGATCTTTTCAGCCAAACTCTCCATCATGGAAGCAGCTAGACCTCTCACTCGATGCACTGCATTTTCAGCCAAAGAGTTCCCGGCAGAATCATAGAGCTTTGTCGTCCTCATAGTTGTCTTCAACCCCATAGCCGTTCTTGAGGAAACCAGAAGACGAACAATTTGTCTGGCTGTTGGCTCGTTGTCGCAGTAGTACTGCGCAGCTTCATGTCCCAAAACTTGAGTGAATGCCAGCAACTCATGGGTAATGAGATTCATTTGGTTCTTCGATTTCAATGGAAGACCCAACAAAGATCCTGTTTCTGAGCACACAGCGATCAGCCAAAGTGCACCGCTTTCTCCATCATGGACAATTTCTTGGGCCTGATCCTCCTATTGAGCGCCCAAAGCTTCTGAACCTTTCGCTTTCACCTTGCAAAAGTCGAAGGAGATAGTGGGGCGTCCCCGATCATGCGATGATGCAAGCTGGACACCAAGGGGCGTACGGGACGTGCGTCAGCTCGTGAGCTTTCCACTCAGCTTCTGTTGGGACTTTAGCTGCAACTTGTTCAAGCGGGATTCGCTGACTCATAGCCTGTCCTCTTGCAGCCAAATCTCTTGCCATCATCAGCTCAAGAGCTCCCTGGTGGGCCACCAGCCTGCTGAAGCACTTCTGCTTGCCTCCACTCTGGCCGATCTGGTAAAAGGCGCAAGCTGCTCTCAAGCTCCTCAATGGACTTTCCAGCGTCAGAGTCACATCATTCACCCTGATCTCTTCCGGGACAGCCGCTCCAACCTCGTACTGGACCATCTGGTCATCGAGGTCACGGCCTTGCTCTCCACCTTCTCCACCTGGGATCTCAGCTCCTCCAATGTCTTCGAGCTCTTCATCGCCAGCTTGAGGGATAGCCAGCTCCTCTATGTCTTGCTTGGGACCCAATTGGACTGCACTGTCGATCTCAAATCCAAACACTTCAGGAATCGTTCCTTCTGGAGCCACAAAAGTCATCACTTTGCTCAGACCGACTTCTCGAAGCTCTTCAATTTCCTCTTCTTGTTCTTCGAGCCCGTCCAATGTCAATTCCCAACCACCAGATCGTTCTACGAGGGTTGACCTGCAGAATCCTTCACCTTGATCACGGAAGCCAGGAATGAATTGGGAACTGTGAAACTTGGTGCTGAGGTGCAAACCCACCCAAAATTCCTCTTTCTTCTTCCATCCATAGCCACTGTTGGCCATGCTTGTCAGCTCATCTCCAAGCTTGACTCCTAGCGTGCGAATCACCATGGGCTCTGTGATGACCCTAATCGAGGCATCCACCACCAAGCTCTGATTCTGAAACGCCAATGGGACCTCTAAGCTGCCATTCTTCAGGCAACTCTTCTGTCCATCAATGGACCATCCACTCCTCATCAAGCGACCAAAGGAGAGGATCGGCTGGCTCACCATGTCACTAAATGTGACTTTCTCCTTCAAGACCACTGCCTGGCCACCGGACGTCATCATCATGATATCCACATCCTTGTTGCCATAGCTTTTGATCTTCTCGCCTTGAGCATCCTGCAGTTGGGGCGCTTCTTGCAATGCCCTGCTGCTCAACGTGCTCTCAAGGAACCTCCCTGGGAAGATTGATGCATCAGCACCTGAGTCGACAATCACTTTGAAAGATTGCCTTTCTCCACTTTCTTCGTAGAGCTCCAAGTTCACCTCCTCATTGTCGGTCTCGACTACCGTGTTCACCATGTAGTCGTCATACTCATTTTCATCATCTGAGGCAATGTTGAAAAATTCAACTTGGCTCACCATTCGAATTGAACCAGCATCACTCCCTTCTCTCAAGTCGAAGATCACTGGTTGTGAAACCCGCCTGATGTTCTTGGCGGTCGAATTCATCTCACCACCTCCACCACTTGTTGAACTCGTCGTCAAAGTAGTCGAAGGTGAGGTCGTGTGTGAACCTGCAATGCTCTGAGTGGCCGGCGCTTCCACCTGTCTCACACGCCAACAGTCTTTGGCCATGTGGCCTGGTTGCCACAGGTCCAACACACTTCACTGGGATTCTTTCCCTTGCCACCTTTTCCTTCCTTGCCACCACCCTTGCCTTTCCCATCTTTTCCACTGGATTTGCCGCCTTTACCCTTGCTCTTGGACTTGTCATCCTTGCCCTTTGACTTGCCCTTCTGATCTTTGGACTTGCCCTTTCCTTTCTTTCCATCGCCCTTGATCCTGTCGATCTCCATTGGCATCACACCGCTTGGATCAATCGTTGTTGGGCTCATTCCAGAAAAAGTCAAAGCACCTGACTCATTCCACTTGGTCGTCGCGGTGTCGAAGGCGATGATCGCTTCTCTGATCTTGCCATAGGAACTGCCTTCATTCAGGGTCAAGTTCAGATGAGTTTTCATCTGGCCGGACACGGCCCTGAGCAGGACAGCAGATTTCATGTCCTGGGACAGCTTTCCACCAAGGCGCTCATACTGCGCGTAGTGTTCTTCCAACTTCAGGATTTGAGGCAGCAAAGAACTCTTCATGTTGAAACTCGGATGGGACATTATGCCCTGCAGCAAGCTCATGGTCCTGTTTCGGGCTTGAGGTTGACAGTTCGTCAACAGCTGTCTGAGGGCCTCCATGCCGTTGAACTTCTCCACATTCTTTATGACTCCTGTCAACCTCCCTTGAACCAAACTCCCCAACAAACTGTAGAGAAATCGACTCCGCTGCTGCTCACCCTCATCTAAGAGCTCCCAATCCACCTCTGTTCCAGAGTTGGCCTCAAGCTTCTCTAGCTCCTCCTGAAAGGCACTGTCCACCACCACCAAATACTGTTTTATGGTCCAGTACCAATCTCTCCACTGCAAAACTTCCTGCTCCCTGTTGAGGGGGTTGAACGGGCTTGGCCTCGGTATCAACTTAGCCAGATCCTTCTTCAACACTCCGTGCTCTTCACCGGATCCTCCAGCATGCCCACTCGACGCCGCTGCCTGTGCTGCTTGGGCAGCTGCTGTTGCAGCAGCTGTGACTGCTTGTGCCAGGCCGCTCATCTCCGACTGGTCCATCTTGCCCTGGTGCTCTTCACCAACCTCCTCAGTCAGCAGCTCGTAGACCTTCTCGTAGTCCAAAGGGCGTCAATGACAAGGATCTTCTTCAGGTACTCTCAGGCAGGGATTGCGAGCAAGTGCTACACCAGTTTATGGGTGGCTCGGCGGGTGGCGCTCTTACCCTAAGGCCTTTAAAGTGGAGCTCCAGTCAGCACCAAACCTTGGGTGCTGACCTTCTCAGCTCCGCTACCATGCGGACTTTTCTTGAACCTCAAAGGCCTTACGTGTAAAGTGCTGTACATGCTTGACCTGGAGTTGAGTGACTTTTGTTTCGCACTTTCACAAAAATGAAAGAACATTAAACAAAAATCAGAGTTGCACACACACACATATTTCACAAACATCAATCGCTCAAAGAGATTCTGAACATTTGCAGTAGCAAGGACGCTACTAGGGGCTCCTGGCATCACTACTAGGAGCATGAAGCTACTAGTAACAAGGGGCATCGCTACTAGTAGCAAGAGGCTACTAGGGGCTCCTGGCCTTACTAGGACCAAGTCTGGCACCCAAGTCGCCAGGCCATCCCCTGCTTGCACGCTGCCTAGCACCAAACACCGAATGCTTTTCGTGTTTTCGTTTCTATTGCACCAGCGTGAAGCACTGAAGTTTACAAAGACATTGACACGCGGTGGTATGAGCGAAGCTTTGCCTTGTCATTTGACCGTCTTGTTTGGACTGGCAACCAAGTCCGCGACACATGCTTTCAGGCGGTGGAACCAACCTCAAGAAACTCTCAGACATTGCGCTCAGAATTCGCAAGCTGCATGCTTTTCCGTCATCTTTCAGCTTTCATGATGGCTTTCTGTTGACAGAGCTCGAGAGATGCAGGCTGATTCTGCTGGGAGAGCGAGCTCTCTAACAGGGTATGCGGTGAGTGAGTTCATAGCGAGTTCTTCTTTCACGTCGCTACCCTTGAAGAGTACTAACTAGACTTCTTGGAAGAGACACGTATTCGGAAGCAAAGAACAACACATGATTCAAAAATCTTAACAAAACTTGAGAACAAAGAAAGGGTTCCCTCACTAAAACTAACAAGAACGCCTTGCTTGAGAATGCTGTTTGGGATAGGAAGACAGGTCAACAGAAGGAGGTCCAAGCCAGGAAGCAAGGAAAGAATTGTCGAAGAGAGAAGAAACACCCAAACAACAATTCTATTGAATTTTGTTCTTACTGCGAGTAACAAGAAGCTACTAGGGGCTCCTGGCCTTACTACTAGGAGCAAGGACGCTACTAGGAGCAAAGGGCATTGCTA